AGGACTGCATGCGATTTTCGCCGGAAATTGACAGTCGGCGGTCGAAAGCCACAGATCTTTGATTTAGCATGCACTGTTTAAAAACACATTCGGCAGCCTATAAGCCAGCTTTACTGCCAATGCCCAGCGATAAACACCCAGACAATACTATACTCTCGGCCCATAAATCTGCGAAAATCTGCCCAGTCCATCGGTCCATCGATTGGCGGGCGGTTGCATGTTTAGCAAATTACTCAACAGCTGGGATCCAGGGATCCGCGCAGGGCCAGCTAGCCATTAAATAAATTATAACGAACTTGCGCGCTGAAGAACGCCCCCCGCCTTTGGACGCTAAGCGGAATGGACATTGCCGCAAACAAATTGCTCCCTGCCAAGAAGAGCTCGCCCCGCCATGTGGGAGACGACACGCAGTCTGCAGTTTTCGCGGACTGTGGACCAGGAATTGGGGATTGAGGGTTGGGGACCAGAAGGGGCAAGTCAGGACTGGAGAGGAGGATGCATGTGTCAGCAGCTTGCTCAAAGCAAATGCCGCTGGGAGTTTTCTTTTTGGGTGAGTTTTTAATTTATGTTATTGATGCGAAAGATATACCGAGTGCACTGAGAGAAATCGGGCAGAGATTATCCAAAATAAAGTAGGCATTGCAGGTGAGGCTTTTTTAATGCTTTCTTGTTCAAACTAAATTCGAATGCTGATCCGTGGGAAAAATTCAAAGATGGATATTTCGGTTAAGGTTGCACTTTAAATTTTGCGTGAGCAGTTAACGAACATGCACAAAACAGAGAAAAAGAGGCGAAATGAGTTACGGATTTGCAATCGCTTAAGTTGAGTGCCAATCTGAGCCGGCTCCAAAGCCCAGTCATATAAACAAATGAACATATGTAAAATCCATGCTCGACAGCGGCCACGACAACTTGGGCTGACGCTGATGCTGATGTTTTTTACGACTTGACACAGAGTTTCCGAGGACAGACGAGGATGGGGATGGGTCTGCCAGGTCTCCCAATACTCCGAAGTCTCTGCCGAGTCTGCAGTGACTGGACAAAGTGGCCGACAAAAGTCGGTCGGAGATCCGTGCGCTTCAAGCCTCGAGATCGGCGGGCTGCTGACTGAAATGGCTTTGAAGCGCACATTTGCCAAAGTGATCGTAAAAATGCCAAGCCAAATACCTTGAGCACGTCAAGCGCGGCAATTAAAATTGAACTTTTATGTTACAATGACATATAGCCCAGTCGCAGTCGCAGTCGCAGTCCCGGGTTGGCCCGTTGGCCCACGTCGGAGCGCCTTAGCGCTCAAATGAGATGCTGATGGGTGGGGAATGGGAGTGGAGAGTGGAAAGGCCATGCGTGTGAACGGGGCAAGATCAAAGCTTGTGCCGCAGCCACGCACTTGCAACTGGGAAAAGGACGCAGCTATTGGCTATCGTGCGATCTCTTTCCTCTTCGGCTGGACAATGCAAATGCCGAGGCCGAGGCCGGGTCCCGTGCAGTTTGGTTTCACAATTTAATTGCAAATAAATTGAGTTTTTGGTACTTCATTTAAGCGAAACACGCTAAACCTTCCTGCACCGGCGGCGGATCCATCAAAGTCGGCCGGGGATGTCTTTTTTGCTGGCTGCTGCCCAAAGCTGGCTTTTACGAGGTTTCATAAGACAGAACTCTCGAAACGAATTGTTTGCATGAAATTAAAATGGTTTCCTATTCAACCTGACGAAAGTGTCTTTTCAGGACTTTCAGTGATATTTCACCCCTCTTCCTTCCTGGAACAGCAATCGACTTGGACCTTGCCCTACCATATAATGAGGTTCCGCTAGCTGATCCATCAAAACTCCGTTAGGCAACTGTCAACAGATGCACAGGAACTCTCTGCCACACAGTTAAAAAATCGTCAGTAGCTGTGGATGGTCAAACGGAAGGCAAAACAAACAAACTGGCAAGCGGGCAAATATTGAACAATCGCATATGACAGATCGCTCGTCCATCTGGACCAGGACGAGGAGGTCGAGGAGGACAAGTGAAAATTAGGCACACACACGCGTTCGCACTCACACACTGCGAAGACAGTTGTCAAACAGTTTTCACTCCTTCATGCTAAATTTGCAAGGCAAACAAACGCCGTCGTCGGTCCCGCCGGAATTTGACTAAGACTCCGACTCACCAGACCCATGGGCAGTTCAAGGACGACGGAGGTGTCACAACGGCGGGGTGCCGCATAGGACGGTAGCACAGCAAGTGGCGGGCCGTAGGCTGGGTTATTTAGCTACTCGTTCGGGATTCGGTAGTGCTGGGGCCCAGGTCCATTCTGGGAAGCCCAAACCTAATCATATGAGTCGAAAATAATTTTGAAGAACTCTTAAGTCCCCGTTCCCTTACGAGTTTTATAAGAGGTTTACGATCTCGTGAGTTTGAATGAATTTGACTGTACTCACACTTGCCTTTTACTGCCCTTGTAATGATCTATAGAGGAAGTTTTATGCTTGCGCTGCTTGGCGACAAAATTTACAGCCCCCAGTAAATCAAGATTGTGTTGTGCAGTGTGGCCAACATGTGCTCTGATTCAGAAGAAGAATGGGCTCCTTAGAATTTGGCACACAGTTTACGGGGCTCATAAAATCCTGTCAATATTCAAGAAGTACATACATGCTACAGCCGACGTCATTGATTTTTGAGTCCCGTTTATGGAACGCTAATTGAAGGCTTTGTTGACGAAATATTAGCTTGAAAGTGTCCCAAAGAGTGTGAACTGCAAATTTAACACGTTTTATTTCTTGGCCTTTGATTTAAGAATGGTCAGATTTATAAAGCAGTCTCTTAAGGAATTTCTTATGAATTATTTTTGCTGCATTTCTTTTGGTATGCCTTTTGAGCTGCGTATGATTTGGGTGAATTAAATTGTAAAATTTTTTCGTCCTTGAAATAAGAGTTTGGGGACTGAGAACTCAAAGGACCATATTTATAGGCGGTTTCCGTTTTACAAAGTCCTTAGAAATTTCCTGGCCCTTGGCTCCTTATCAAAAGTTTTGAAGCGGCCGTTGCCACGCATGAGGAGCTCCGGTAATTGAAAACTGTCAATACGCAAATTAGAAAATTTGTCATGTTTATCGTGACCAAGTGGTTTTGTGGTCTCACTCTGAGCACGGAAATGGGCGGAGACGCAATCAATTAATGCCTCGCCGGGAATGTCCTGTGGCATACCAGTGCATTCAAGGGCCAGGCAGTACGGGGTTCTTTTATAACGCTTCATTAGCATCGATTTTTATGCTGATTATCGCAGGGACTGCAGGTCGGCTTAGCAGTTCGATCCTACTTTAGAGTGCTCTGGCCTATTTTATCAGCCTGCCAGCTCATTCCGCTCAATTCGGTTCTGGGCTGAAGGAAGCCGTAATATTTTTATAGATCAGAAATTTGCATGCGGCCTGCTGCCACAAACATACTCTCACATTCCCCATACACAAAGAGCGAGGGGCAGCCATTTTTGGTTCGAGTTCGAGTTCGAGTCCATCCCCTGTCCCTTTCTCGCCCTGTAGAAGCCAGATGCAGGCGGCATGTGCGTATCCTTAATATGCGTAAACTTCACGCTTAATTCTTTATATTATGATGATGTCCTTTCGCTGTTTTCGCTTTTGTTCGTTGGTTTTTCAATTTTTCAAAACTGCAGACCGTCCCAACTGTACCAGGTGTGCCTCCCCTGGCCGTTAATGGCTGTTGATAGATTTTTATGTTTGTATATCGGTAATTGACTTTCCCAGTTCAGGGTAGAATAATCAGGATGGGATTACCGAGTAGCTTTTAGATCGATCCTGTATGTGACTCTGCGTCTTACAGATTTGGGATCCTTTTTCGAAAAGTTACAGAAAAAAACACAAAAGAACTATTTTTAGCAAAAATCCAGATCGTTATTTTCAGCACAAAATAATTACCAAACTGTAGAATGTCATGGAAAAAAAATCACAATGTAACCTCTTTTAAAAGTGGGAATAGGGTCAAAATATTAAATTCTTGAAACCATCCAGAAAATATAAGATTTAAAATATGGGGTTTTGGCTTTACGTCTTTAAGATGTGGAATCCTATTTGGACAAGTTACAGGTAAAAATTAAGAAAAACTTATTTTTCTTAAAATATGGATACCAAAAAAGCTAATGAGCTTGAATTCCATTAATCAAGACCAAATACTCCTGCCAACTAAGGAGGAATAAGGAACAAATCCTGACACGATTTCATCTTTCGCAAACAAGCATGAACTGAACATGGTGTGTGTGTCGCCAGGAGGGGATAAGCCAAGAAGCTAAGGGAAACCCGGAGGCCATAAACTTGGTTGACAAAGAACTAGCCTAACTAGCCAGAAGCTGGCGAAGGGAGGAGAATGCAATGGGATAAACATACATTGGGAACACACGACACGCAACTGTGGGTGCTAAAAATGCCAAAACCGGAACGATTGATAATGCGTCCTGGACTGGGTAATGGTGCTGGGTTTGGGTTAGGGCTTGGTCTTGGTCCTCGGTTTGTGTCCTGTGCCGCCGGCAGCCTTCACGGTTTAATTGGCTGCCAGCGACAAAATAAAAGTCATACAATTCATACAGAATGCTCGGGGACAGCTGCATTCACATAGCGATCAGGCGAGTGTCAGCGGGAGGGGGTTGATATGCGGATGGATTATGGATGCGTTGCAATATCAAACGTCGGGCTAGCTGGGCCGAACCGCCCTGAACGTGCTCAGCCAATCAGAGGTCTGGCGAGGCGTGGCATTAACTCGATTAAAGCGCGGTCCGCTCACCAGCGACTCTCTCTCTCTCTGTCTGGCCGGCGAAGTTTTGATCGTTGCCATATTGTGCCGGCGCTGGCGCCCGAGCAGGCATCAACCACCAGAAGGGCGGGCGCGAAAGCTGCTCTCGCTCTCCCTCCTGCCAGCATCAGCATCTCCGTCTCCATCTCGGCGGTGGTGGCTCGGACGCGGGAACCAGTTTATGGAGCGATCTCATTGTTCGTCCGTCTGTGGAGTAGTCGTCGTCGGCCGGCCCTCGTTAATTTATGCTCGCGCTTCTCTTTAGTTGCCTTGCAAGTCTCGTGCTGTTTGATCGCCGAAGCGCGCGTAATTCCAAGAAAAAATCCCACTGCCTAACCACCGGGTTGAGGTTGAGAGTTGCAAAGTTCCGTCGGAATCGGAATCGGAAGCCGCTCGTGTCGTCGCTGGTTTCGCAGTGATGAAGTGCAGCCTTTGGGCCAACTTCCAAGTGATTAAGATTAACAGAGAATAACTACAGCCTCTAGGCCGTTGTAAATATAAGTGTGCAATTGTATCGACTCTGATGCACTAATCCTAAGCCAAAGCCAGTTTGTTATACGGTGCAACGTCATTTTAGATTATAAGTTATCAATAAGTGGATTACGTGGATTCGGACAATGGATATGTCCAGCGCCAACTCACTGCGTCCCCTATTCGCGGGGTATCCCTTTCAGGGTAAGCTAAACAATCAGTAATCATGTTTTGAGTATCTAAAAACCTCTGGAGTATAGACAAATGCAAAATATATAGGTTCTTCCAAGGGTTTAATAACTTATCAAATGAATTTCCCATGATGATCTGGATTTCCCGTATTCGCTTCTAACTGATCTTACTCGCCCCGCAGGACAAGGTCGCGTCAACCAGCTCGGGGGCGTCTTTATCAATGGTCGCCCGCTGCCCAATCACATTCGCCTAAAGATCGTGGAAATGGCGGCCAGTGGAGTTCGGCCCTGTGTGATTTCGCGCCAGCTTCGCGTCTCCCACGGCTGCGTTTCGAAGATCCTGAACCGATACCAGGAGACGGGATCCATCAGACCCGGTGTGATTGGGGGATCCAAGCCCAAGGTGACCTCGCCGGAGATTGAGACGCGGATCGATGAGCTGCGCAAGGAGAACCCCGGGATATTCAGTTGGGAGATACGCGAGAAGCTGATCAAGGTGAGTGTGCCGAGCTACACCTGCAGGACTGCAGGAAGCAATAAAATGCAAAAACAAAGAATGCAAGGATTTGACTAGACCCAGACCCTAGACCCACCAGTAGCCATAACCGCATGCCATTATGTGTAGACAAATAGGGCCCAAATACGGCCCGAATGCGAATCAGTTTACTTCCGTTTTCCGAAAAGTCACGTGGCAGACTCGGGCCGCCCGCTGGCTTTGTTATGGCACGTTGCCGACGACACCTATGCCGGCCCTTTTGCATATGCCGATGCCGGCTGGCCAGTTGCACAGATGGCCCAAAACGATAGCCCGTATGGCCAAAGGACCTAGTTTGAACTTGGCCGCTCATTGACAATTTTGTTGTACAACGGCGACGACAAATTTTCGCTTGCCACCCAAACCGTTAAGAAATCGATTAAACCATAAAGAGTCGCCTGACACTGCTGTTGTCGTTTTTCTTGTCGGCATCGATTGTGTTTTATCCTTGAGGCGACAAGGTGCAAAAAGAGGATATTTTTATCTGTCCCTTGCTTACGGGACATCGCTTCAAACTTCCTGTTCGATATGCCATTGTGAGGCGTGGAAAAAGTCGGGCCTAAGTTTGTTTTGCCAATGGCCAAGTATCTCAACCCACCAGCTCTCAACTGAATTCATGTCACGTTTTAATGTACGATTTCTAAATCTGACAAAAACAAGTTGTACGACATCCCTCTCGCCATCCATCCTTTTTAATGTGTCGCTTCACAAACCTTGTCACCTTTGCCATTAATAGCATATTACTTTACCTCACATTAGCCTTAAACTTAGGAGATAAGCACACATGCCCACACCTTGATCTGGGAAGCAAAAGCAAGTCAAAAGGGGAAATTATGCTTTGGCTTATGACTGAACCTACGCCAATATGGCTCATTCCCTAAGACCAGCTGTCTGGCTAAAAGTTCGATTTCGGCATACTTCCTACTGGCCGGGACAGTTCCTCTGATCCACGCCCGGCTGGATTTGGATATGGATGGATGGCCCTGTCCTGGCGTTGTTGTTTTCGCCTCTTGGCGAGATTGCACGGGGGCAGTGGAAGACGAAAGACTCATGCCAGCATTCGTGTTTTCATGCGCCAGCCTCTTTTGGCGGCTCTCGTCTCGCTCTTTATTTGAAGCCGCAATTAGGCACACTTTATGTGGCGATAGGACTCGGGCGACCATCGATATGATCGGACAATGGAGCAGAGTTGGCATCACTTCATTCCATATCCACACAGTATGTGCACAGGCAGAAATTCAAGAGGGTATTGATTTTTTGTTTTTTATTGTTTTATAAAATTATGCAGAAAGTAATGGAGGTCCCATGTGGAAATTTTCAGGGGGAATCAAGGATTGTGTATACAACCTCATACTATTTTTTTTATTGAAATGATTTTTTTAAGTTTGAACTATACTTTGCATTGGAACCCTTTTTATCTGAAAGCTTGGCCAAAATAATAATTTTTGAGTATAATTATTTTTTTTACCCCACGTAATTTAAAGATATAAATTAATTTTACAAAAATAAAGCATCGCCATATGTTTGCTCTGTCAAATAGATTTTTTATTGTGATAAAAATGAGATATCGGTTTGATTCCTTGAAGAAAATCTCGATACGTTTCACAAAGAATCACTCATATTAAACATGTTTCTTGCTGTGCAGTTCGCATTGCTCCGCTTGCGCTGGCTTGGCTGGGCAGTAGGCGTAAAAACAGCCTCCAGGTGAGCTTCACGCTTAATTAGAATACGCTTTGGGCTTCTTTCCTGCTTCGATTTCATACCCCTTTCTATCTTACAGATACAAACTTGCTCAGTGGCGGTTTATCCACCAACGGTCGTGATTGATTTCATCGGTTGTTATTGCACATTGGACTTGGTTTGGGAATGGCAGATCGTGTTTTTCTATTGATCCTTGGGGTTCAGCCTCACCTTCACTCTCCATGTTTATTCATATGACCCGATGAAAAACTACTTGATTCCAAGAAATTTAATTATTTAAAAACACAGAGCGCACCTGTCACTCAATTAAAAAACTAGCAGAGACCCCAAATATATGGTAGGTAACTTATAGAAAAAGAGCGCTGCACGATTTGGTCAAGTATAAAGTGCAGTCAAGTGTCAATCCAACTGTCAACTAATTAATTAAATTTCAATTGAAATTGTTAAGCCAGAACCCAGTCGGAGGTGAAAAATGTATCGCGCAGTCGGGGGCTCGACCGCGATCGAGATCGGGATTGGAATTGAAATTGGGATTGGGATCCAGTTGTCAGTTGCCCCAAGATAAGCTGTCACACATTCCAGTCGAACAACCGGTACGGTGGGCCCCAGCCGAAGTGCCAGACACAGCACAAGTCATAAATAACGCAACAAAGTCCAGTTGAAAATCAAAACATATTTCTGTTGTTGTCTCCGTGACACATTCAATAGAAATGGGAGCCAGTAGTCAGTAGACAGAAGACCAACACCAGTTAGCCAGACACTCCCGACACTCCAAGCTGGACAAAATGTCAGTTTTGGTTTCCGTGGCCGGCGTCTTGTCTTGTCTGGTCCTGTCTTGTCTATGAGGTGCCAGTTATGCCACCTTTGTTAGCCGGGGAATTAACCACAGCTCAGAAGAACGGGTGGCCGGGGTCTCCGCACAGCGATAATTTCGTTAGTGGAAAAATAATATTATTAATCATGAAAATGTTTGCGGCACATGCCACTCCATTTGAGCAACGACTGACACCCGGCCACCGGACAGACGAGTACTCGGGGGTCACTCTCCGTCCTCCGGGTACCTCCAAACAGCCTCCAGAGCTGGGATCTCACTCCCAGACATGACGCTACATACGTCGCAGAGTTGCGCTTCGTTGTGCAGCGATTTGCTTGAATCTGGACTTAATGTTGAAGTCGACATGTCGCTCTAATGAAAACTGACAGTTTTCGGTTTCTTATGGGATGTGTTTCGAAAAGGTGATGCTGACCTGTAAGCGCCATTAGAATTTCATTCCGAAAAACTAAAGCGGCCAGAGCCAAGGAAAAGCTTAATTTTGCATGTGAGAGATTAACTTCACGCTTCCAATTCCTCGCAATTTGTTTTCAATTCCCCCCGGATTCTGTACAATCTCAGCACTTGTCTCGCCTCTTGACACAACACGCGACACAATCGCAGGGCAAACGCACAGATAGAGATAAATTCTCATGCCTGGCCTAACTCTCGGCTTGACATTTCCCTAATTGGATTACCAGCCGAAGTTCGTGAGAGAGGGAAGCCGGCCCAAAGACAGCTACATGAAAATTGTCCAAACACAAAAGCTGCCCGGCGACTGTAGCATTAGTGTCAGAGCTTTCCAGTTGCTGCTCTCCAAAGAGATCGAGCATCGGAGATGAAAAGCCTTTAGGCGACCAACAGTAGCGCCCAGAATTATTTATCAGGCCTTATCTTAACTCAAATTAGGTAATTTATTTTCTCCGAATACGCTATCCAACACTCATTAGAATTAACTGAGATAACCCAAAGCATAACACGATTTCTAATTGAATAACTTTCCATTTGTTCATAAAATACAGGAGGGCTTTGCGGATCCACCGTCAACGTCATCTATCAGTCGCTTGTTGCGGGGAAACGATCGAGGCAGCGAAGATGGTCGAAAGGACTATACTATACATGGAATTCTTGGAGGTAAGAAAACCCAGTTTGCTACGATAGAGAAACCTATTTGGGAATAGGAATGGGAACGGGCACGGGGAATCTTGCTGTGAAAATCACCGATCATTTATTTGATAATTTCGGAAAATCATCATCAAATCATTTGTAGCTCAAATCAACAAACTGGTGTCGGCACCATGGCTTTGATCGTCTTAGAACTAGCGACTTAAACTTAAATAAAAGCCGCTCGGAATGGGAAAGAAAAGACTACAATGGATCTGGCTGGCCATACGATAACGATCTCGATCGCTTGTTGGCCATACACCACCGAAATAGGTGTAGATGATGACACCTGAGAATCAAAAGTACACAAGTCCCGAGATTCTTTTGCCAGCCAGCCCAGAACCAGCTAATAACCCAGCGTTTCACTGCCTTGCGTGAGATCTCGGTATGCCCCTAGCCCCTGTCCCCTGATCGGAGCCAATAATCAGGCTAAATATGCATAGTCATTCGATAAACGACCGGCGGGGTCAAAGCGGTGTCGATCAGCCAAAAGAGCATGATACTCTGCTTACTTATGCGTTTGAGAAATTGGGAAGAAAATTATTTTTAATGATCTTTCGGAGCATCTTTGTGGCTTTCTTCGCTAAACTTGGTTTTTCAATTATTATAGCACCGAAAGCCGAACTACTTTCATATATTTGCTCTTTTTCAATTGTTAAGTTTGCCGACATCCTCTGATATTTGCCGACCTCTAACTGTCACAACAGAAATCCCGCCTTACAATAGCCTGCAGGGGATTCCCTTAGATGTCACCTTGTCCTTGTCTCTCTGAATGCGTACAAACCGACAATGACTCTGGATTGCATTCCATCAATGAATATTGTAAAATGTTCATGGGCCGAGGCCTTGAAGGAAAGTTATGTTCCCCGTTGTTTCTTCTTTATCATTGTTTTCTTGGGCGGTATATGAAAATGGCACTCACAGGTGAAATGTTAAGCGGAGTTAAGTTACATTAGCAAAATATGATATAATGCATAAAACATTTCCCTACTCCTTGATTCCCACTTTTTTAAGCTGCCGTGAAGCACCTGTGTGTCAAAGCTATTTAACTGGTGCTGGAATCACACAAACATAAAAACTCACTAAGCATAATCTACACAGCCCCGACCCAAGGGTAATCATTATGTTGTCGAAGCGTATAATAAGCACACGCCCTCCCATCATCATTGATTCCTCGGCCCCATCCCGGTGCCCCGCACCATTATTATAGCTGGCCAGGCAGAATCAGCAGCCAACTCACAATCACAACCCCAGTCGGAAAGGCTGCGCAGAGACACATCCCAAGTGGAACTGGCAGGCCAGTACCCAGCTGTGTTGGAATCTTTGGGATCTTGGATCTGGGACCTGGGATAACAAAGTCGGTGCCGTTGCCTGTAATCAACGCCTTCTTTGCCGGCGACCGAATGATTCCTGGCCCTCACCTGCAGACGCCGAAAATAAAATTATGCATTATTAAATATGTTTCTTCATCTTTTGTTTCGCGTATAATTTCGTTTGATTTGGATTTTGTACAATTTACACAACTGATTCTGGCCCCACGTTCACGTTCACATCCACGTCCGTCGTCTTTTTTCCACTTGCAGTCCCTTTCCCAGACCCATCCGAAGCTTCCCCGGCCACAAAGCCCTAGTGTCGTCGACTGTGTTTACCGGCGGCTCGCTTTGATCTCGCAAATACCGAAAAATCGATGGAAATATTTGAAATACCCAATAATAGCTGAATTTACCCAAAAAAGAAAGAGAAATTGTGTGGGGGCTACTGAAATAAGTTGGGTGACAATAATGCTGTTATAATTTTTGATCAAAAACCAGTGTATGGCGGACCAAATGAGTCGACCAATGTCGTTATTAAGAGCATTGATAGCAGTCGATGGAAATCCTCGCTAAAGACCAATTTAAATTGTATTATTTCGGAAAATAAAAGGTGTGAGAAAAGGTGAGACATTAGACGAACTAAATTATAATTCAAATGCGGCCATGTTTGAGCGACTTCCCGCTCGAAGCGGCTAAATCACAAATGACAATTACTTGGAATCCGTACCTCTCCGTTTCCCAGTAATCTCCAGCTTGATAAACATTGATCCCCACGCCCCGTCGAAAACACAACAAACACACCGCTAAACGCTTGCAACGCCTCCGCTTAACGGCCTTACAATAGCCAAGCTGTCTGATTCTGAGCCCAAAGCCTTGACTGATAAATACGCGTGCGATTTGTTTTATTTAGTGCGATCGAACACTCAAAGAAAGAAAGTGGCGCAAAACAAAGAAATCAAATGGCAAAACACCGACAAGAAGTCAACGGCGAAAGAAGAAAAGCCGAGCAGAGCACTTGTGGCAATTAGTGGCCAGGACAAAGGCATCAAGAGGGACCGCCGTGGGAATGGAGAGCGATATTTACAAAATATTCTCCCCCCACCCAAGGATCCAGGTCCAGACAATGCGGCAGCAATGCAAGGGCAGATCCTGGACGAGTCCAAACACAACAGGTTCAATTATTTGCAAAAAAAAAAAAAAAAAGCTGGGAAATGGAAAATGGCAATGGCCGAAGGACGAAGACAAACGGACGCCGCCCGAGCAATCCTGTTATGGGAGTTCACACCTCCTCTAATGATTCGCAACGGGATGTCAGAGGGAGTCGAAAGACGGGAGAGGGGCATTCCTGCAATGTCACATGACAAATGACTGCGAGGCGAGGGAGGCAGCTCGGCAAGTCGGCTTCTTGCCGGTGATTGCGCAAAAATATCCTATCCTTGCATGTGCGGTCTCTAACCCGCAGCACCGACCTCGGAGCTGACCCTATCTCACACATATGGCCCGATGATCCAGTGGCTGGCTCATTTGTTCGACTCGAAAACCCATTAAAATCGTTCATGCCCGAAAAAAGTGTCAACGTAACAAAAGCATCGCTTTGACTTCAAATGCACCGATCTTGAGCGGCTTCTTTAATGCCCACCAGGGTGTCCTGGAGCGTTCTGTTTGATCTCATTGTGGCCCGGATCGTCTCGGTCCGACTTTCGTATGTTTTCCGCCGCCTCCATGCACTGCAGCGCCCCCGACCGAGTCCGTCGTTCGTGTTGATGAGTTACAAAATATTTTATTAACGTATTATCACACTTTAACCGACTTCTCTGTCCCGCTCCCTCCGGAGTTCTCTGCCTCCTTCGCTCTTTCTTTCTCTTTTTTCATTCGTTCTCGCCGCCGCTGCTGTTCATCTGGGATTTGTTTTGATCAAGTGTTTGTCTGCATTGTTATTTAAATTAGTTTCATTTCATTCTGGCCCGATGCTGAACTCCTTCGATTTCGATGATTTCGTTTCTTTTGCCGCCGGATTATGATTATAACTAATTTTGGTCTCTTTTTCTCCAACCCGTTGTCCCCTACCATGGCAGCTCCTACGACTTTTGTAAATTAGTTTAAATGAGGCCCAGTGGGAAATCATTTGAAATTAAACACAGTATTTAGTGGATTTGAAATGGGTTCACCTTTCCCCTGCGTGGGCGTTCCTAGCTAACATTTATATTTTAATTAGCCACATTAAATTTAATATTAGGTAACAGCCGCATGTTAAAATTCGTGTTTTAAAATTGTTCTGGGAATTCTTAAAACAACATTTTAAAACAAAAGCTTTCGATATCAAACAAAGCCACCTCTTTAAGGTAAAAATGTAGTGATGATCCCACATGCAAAAAGTGATATCAAATGTTTTGAGGAAAACTTATTATGCAGTCTACTAAAGAAAAATACACTGTTTAATATATACTTAATCGGCACGATTATATTAAAAATGCCTTCGTAGGCAAGATTGTAAAATATTTTGGGTCAATTTAAAGTAGCAGGCCACTTACCACTATATTATTACATCATATGCTTCTTAAGTTTTTTAGTTACCGAAATTAACGATTGATTAAATTACATTTATTATCACTCGGACAACAATTTCAAGCGCTTTTAAAATTATGGCAAATATATATTCATAGGTTTAATGTCAGACTTATTAATTTTGTAATAACTTTAAGAATAAGAAAATTACTGAAGATTTGAATATTTTTAAGGTAACAGTTAATATATAAATTATAAAATAACACAGGCCGACAAAATGTGACATGGGTCGATGTCCAGGTCTGCCACCATTTTATTTCGATAAATTAGGCTTTTCTAAGCATAAGTTGCCACTACGCCTATAGTCCATCAGCTCTGGTATTTGCGGTATCTTTAATTTAAGAAAATCACAAATTTTCTTCGTCTTTTGGGATATATCTTCAAGAGTGGTCAACCAATTTTGGTAATCTTTTCGGAATTAAATAGTTACATGTCTCTTTTATACGATCGTTTTGGAAAATACAATCTAACTCAACCACAAGAGGAGGTATTCAAAATTTTAAAGTCACAGCAAAGTTTAAAAATCTTCATTTGTGAACAGCGTTTAAAAATTAAATAAAAATATTTTCTTCTACAATGCATTTTTGATCCAAAGACACCTTATGACCTTAATTTTTAGGACACTCATCAGCTTTTTGTGAATTGTTTTGGAATTTTTAAAATGGTTTTTCTTACTTCCTTCACAGTGACGATACACAAACAGTGCCCAAACCTGTCACAATTTTAAATAACATATTTCTAAACGATCTATATATGATGGACGTTGATGCACTACGAGAAGTACAAACAAGTGGCCCAACGACACCAAGCACGTGCTTGTTACGCGCGGGGCCCTTTTGTAAATTTGGGCAAAAATGCGAGTTCGCGAGGAAGAATACATAAAACCAATAAAGACGGGACAAATAATAAAAAAAAAAAAAAAATGCAGTTAGGAGTGAAGCAAATGAGTTAAAATGTTAGTTTTTAATACCGGGATAGAAGTTGATGAGCAAATTAAATGATAAAGAACGTTATAGTTATTACATAGAACGCGAAAGGGCTCGTGCAGACCAAAATTTGATGTACATCGAGGTAAATTAAGAGGTTGATAAT